CCGGTGTATTTATTTGCTTTTGTACCAAAGAGATGACTTTGCATTGCGCTGAACCAAACTAAATAGAGGGTGCTCCATGTTTCTGTGCTGTCCCTTTCTCTGAGGCTTGTTCAGTTGCACAGTGAGGTGGTCCAAGGGTGTGATCTACCAAATCTTGCCTTATTTCGATACACACGTGTGTATGCATATTTTGTTTCATGGGGAGGAGGCTTTGCTTTGTCTCCCTGAACTGGTTCACTCTCTGAGAGGAGGCGGGGAGAGTAGATTGCAGCAGCCCCAACTTCATTTGGCTTATTTTACCTTGACATGTGAGCAGTGAGTTGCTGTTGTCAAATCTTACTGATCTATCTATAGAAAGAAGGGTTTGGAAGTAAACTACTCCTGCCCTTTCTAACATTCATTTGCATGATTAAAAATAGTTGTGTTAATAGATACAAAGCTTGAGAGAGGCAGGAAATAAGAGATCTGGAAAACCTCTAGAAGTGATAACCTGGTAGGAATAGTGAGAAGATGTTGATAGGGCTGGCTGCTTTTTCCACGTGTGGGAGAATGGTGGATGGCGACTTCAGCCTAGAGTACCAGCCTTATGATCGCTGGTCTCCTGGATTCGAATTTTCAGTGGAGACTGGGGGGATGTTGGCAAAAACTGTTCAGAATCTTTTCGAGTTTAAGAACAGTTTGGGAACAATCCTGCTTGTTTTTCAGCAAGGAGGTTCATGGATGTTTTTGCTATAAGTGAGCTGCAAGTGCTCAGCCAATGGAAGTAAAACCTAATGCACGAGGTGAAATATTCCTGTTTATTTTAGAAGCAGCAGGACAAGTGAGTGGGAGTTGGTAACAGTGTGTGTTGAAGGGCAAGGGAAAAGAAACTGCTCTCTGAATTTAAGCAGCAATATGAGGACAATTACATCTGTGAGAAGGCTTCTTTTATTTTATTTTTTTTCTTAAATGTACCTATTTTAGTAGAGGCCACATTTTTTGGCCTGGACTGAAATTGAATTGGATCTCGTCTCAGTAATTCAGTACTTAAATAAATCAAAATTAAAAAGTCCTTCCTGGAAGGAAAGCTGTTTCTGTTTTTTTAACACTTTTGCTGAGTTGTTTTCTCTTAACTTTCTGCTTCTCGGTGACATGCAAGAAGCTGAATGTTCAACTTCAAATTCATATTGTAACTTATTTACCAGACAGTCCACAGTAAAAGTTCTTTATGCTGCTGGTTGGTGAAAGAGGTTATCTGATACCTGAGGCCTTGTAAATAATTTTTTGTAGATAAAAATGAGACATTCCTTGTTCTGAGAGATGCAAGGTGTAAGATTCTCGCTCTTTCAGTATGATATACTGAATATTATAATTGCCATGGTAGTGACAGAGGTTTTTGCTTGGTTTTAAAAAAAAATAAATTGATTTTGACAAACTCCCACAGTTAATTTGTTTCCTTGTGTTTATTTTGCCTCCTGAATAGCTCTAGAGTGGAGGAATTAATGTGATTCTGTGAAAAACCCTGCAAATGCAGGGAGCTTGCGGATTTTCTAGCAGTATAGCTGTGTTTCCTGCCAAATAACTTGCTTGCTTTGCCTTTGTACAGGGCAGACTGTGCTGCTGCTGGCTTTTCTCTGTGTATACCTTTCTGCTCTCATATCATCACCTACTATATTTTACTTAGAAATTCTTTCTTCTGTCTTCTGCTTTCACACTTTGTGTGCTGTTTAAGTTCCAGATCCAGGTTTAAAGCATCTTTCTAACTCTCAGCTGCTGGCTTTTTCATCCCGTTTGGTTCCACCTCTGTGTGCCTGCCTCTCCACTCTTTGAGTTATCACGAGGGAGGTTCTGCCGTAGTTAATTCTGCGTGTGTCATCGTGTGCAGTGACCTCAGATTGCTCGTCATCTCTCTGCTGCTTCATCCTTCTTATGTTGTTCATTTACATCCTGAATGCTCCTGTGACCATTTTTAACTCTCCTAATCATCCTTCTAGATTTTTCAGTAAACGATCCAATTGTTTTCCTCGCGCTCTTCATATCACTTTATTCTTTCTTCCCTGCAACAAAACCTCCCTCTGTTTCAAGGGAGTTGGCTTTGTGGTTTCCTCTGCCTACAACTGCCTTTTCAATGATAGCTCCCTTTCTCTGCCTTACCAGCAGAATCCTCCCTTCTTTCACAGCCCGTGGGTGACATGTTGTTACTGAGCGCCTTTGCTGTTTCTCTTGGCCGCAGAAAGTTTGGTGCTTGTTGACAGAGAGGGCTAAGTAGGACGGTGCCCAGCACTGTGTTACTTTCTTAGTACAGTTGCCCATCAGAAAACTGGAGACCACATCTTTGTACTTGCTCAGTCAGCCTCAGTCCCTTTTGCTGTTGTTGCTGTGTTCATTGCCGGTCCACCTCACGCTCACTGTCCCATTGCTTTCTGCTGCTTTGTAAAGGGACAAATGGATGGCAGGTGTGACCTTTTTCTGCTTAGTCTTCCAGTGCTAATTTTGTAGGGTAGACTAGATTGAAAATGTACACAAACAGTAATCATAAGTGAAAAGAACTGATACAGATATTATTTTAATCAAGATTTTCAAATAAAAGCTAAAATCTCAAGCAGTGTATTGATCTGTGATCAGATAATTGCTGAGGTTTTAGATGAAGCTGGCTGTCTTTGCACTGAAGCAGCTGAGACACATTTTTATGATCTTGTACTATTAGCTCTGCTGTGGGCTTGTTCTAGAATAGTCTTAGACCACGACCATAACCACTCAAACTCAGCGCCCACATCGTCTGTGTGATAGTCCCTAATTTTATTTGATGCATTGCCAGATAAAAAACTCCTTTGTCTTAAACATAGGGTTAGAATTTACTCTTCAGGAAAGGTTTTTCATAAAAACAAAAGACCAAATTCCCCATCCCCCCCCCAAATAAATAACTCCTAGATCATTCTGTTGAGGAGAATACTTAAGTGATGAATTACTGTGTACTGGGATCCTAAAGCAGAGTTTTCAGCAGTAACACTACTATTTTTGTGATGCTTTGGAGGTCTGAGACTCTTTACAACTAAATGAAGGCTAAAAAAAATTCCCTACAGATTCCCCTTAACTCATGACTAAAAAGGGACTACATAAATATAGCAACCTGAAAGATTTAGCTTACCAAAAGCTAAAAAGTTCCCAAATCTACCATCATTTGTTTAGGAAAGGTTCTCAGTTGTCATAGTATTAAACATGTTCTCCATCACCCTAAACATGGCTTGATGACATGCTAAACCTGACTTAAAAGCTGTTGGTAAGACATCAAAATACCTACAGCCGCTTATAAGCTCCTGTCAGTTCAAATTGGTTCAAAAAATGGTTTAACCCTGCCAGACTGTGTGCTATGTTATCATCTGTCTTTCCACAACCACTGTAAAATGGAGTAAACTGCGTTGTCTACTTTGGCTAATTTAACCGAGAGAGAATTGTGAGCTCATGGTTACTCTGTGTCAAATTCATGCTGGTAGGTGATCAAATAAGGCACCAGTTTTGTATTGACATTCATGGAATAAAGATTTCAAAATAAATCCTGTTTGTTCCATTTTGAAAACATTCATTTTTTTGGCTACTCTGGTGGTGAAAAATTTTCTGCAGGCCTTCATTAGTTTGCACCTCTGTTACTGCAACTTCTTCATTATATTGTCATCAACATGTATCTCCTCTTTTTGGGGAGCTTAGTCCAAACTGATGCTACAAAAATGTATTTGCTGGAAAACAGTATTATGACACTCGATTTTAAGAGCCATATAGCTCTAGTGATGGTCATTATTCTTCTCTATTTCAAATATTTTTTTATATCCTACCCATAAAGCTGCTGCTCCTCTGTTTTATTCCTGTAGTGCTATGAACTTCTGATCTGTTTTATAATTGCCATATGTTTTCATGGAGCTACATAAATACGTTACAATTTTATGGAAGGAAATACAAAATGGATATACTGTGCCAGTGATAATAGCAGAGTTAATGTTCTATAGAATGTTTTCAGGTTTTTCCAAATTAACTTTTTTTTCCCCCCACACTTCTACAGAGATTGCCCAAGTTATTGCCTCTTACACAGCAACGGGTCCAGAACAGCTTACTCTTGCTCCTGGTCAATTGATTCTTATCAGAAAGAAGAATCCAGGTGGCTGGTGGGAAGGAGAACTGCAAGTTAGTTACTGGTTTTTCTTAAAGTAAAATTCCACGTAAAAAAATTTGTAGTTTTTTAATAGTTCAAAATGATGAATGCATCAATGATAAATAATTTTGAAAATGTTCTGCAATTAAGCATTTACAAATAAAATGCCTTTACAAAAATATACATACATTCCAATTCCTTGAACTTGAAATAAATTTCGAGGACAGGAGGAGGAAGCCAGTGTGCTTCATTGTAAGTCAAGGATAACCGTCTCACAAATCAGACTCAGCCTTGCAGTCCACTCCCTTGTACATTTTCCTGGAGGCCCTTCAGATAAAAGAAAGGAATGGATTTTAGGATGTATTGTTTTGACTGCTTTTGAATCTTCCCAATATCTGTGTCCAGTAGTCGTCTTCACGTGAGCAAGAAAGCAGTTGCCATGTCAGGTAGTGGGGAAAGGCAGCCATGCAACAGGAGCCCATGGGACTGTTGGGTTCAGGGATGGGGTCTGCTTCTATGTCCCATTCCAACAGTGACCATGCACATCAGTTGCCTTTGGATCCCCCAATACCTGTGTGCACTGTGAAAGCAGAAGAAATTCTGGGGTGCGCAATCCTGAGTGTCTTCCTAAGAAGCTTTCTAAATTGCTTCAGCCAAAAGGTTGGCTGTCTCTTTTGTTGAAAGATTGAGAAGTATTTTACAGCAGTGTTTTTTTTGTAAGACGGCCACCACTTTTTCAGCTTGCTTAATGAATGTGACAATGTAGAATACCAGTCTAATGGCCCCATCTCAGCTCCATTTAATGTAGAGGAGTGAAAAGTATGGTGTCTGTTGCAAGCATCAGATAAGAGAGAGCTTTACTGTTGTATTAGAAGATAACAGATAATAAAATATTTTAACGAGGTTTTTTTTTTTAAAAGTAGAACTCAACAATTTGGAAACTTTGATTCTCGGTGACTTTCAGTGGCAAAGTGTTTTCTTACCCCCCCCTCCAGTATCACTGAATGGGGTTTTGTTTGGTTTTGATTTTTTAACAGGGAATATTACATGAAAGAATGTAATTGATTTATTTTTGCAATGCAGATACTCAGACTAACTCAAATATTTTTTCCCACATTACTGCCTGCCCTTTTTGCCTTTCCTGGTGATATTTTTTCATCTTTTGTGGAGAAATCATCTTCCAGGATTGCTTTGCTTTTCATTCTCGCTAACCTTTATGTTTTTGTTAACTTGTAGCTTTGAAGAGTTTCACATTAAATGTATTTTAAAATAGAAAATAAGGTTCACTGGACAAGAGCTGTCACAATTACCACTTAGCAGCTAATGTGAGGGGTTTGTTTTAAAATTAATTTTTGGTTGTGTAAATACTCATATGTAGCTTTGGATACCTTACTATCTAACATACGGTTTTACAAGTTGGGTTTTTTTCTTCTTTAGCAGTCCCCTACCTGTTCTTTTGATTCTCCTGTTCCAACACTGTAATACTAGTTCTTGCTCCTTTGTTATGTGGGCACAAAGGCTAATGCAGCAGTATGGTGAAATGGATTGAAGAATTGATTAAAAATAAAAGCAGCAACACCCCCACCCCCACAGTAGTGAAATGATGATAATTTCGAGAAGGCACTGATACTAACTTTGCTTTATGCATTTAATTTCAAAGTGGCAGGTTTTTTAGGAGTGTATGTCCAGTTCAGTTTCAGCCTCAAGTAAATTTTGATGATACTTGTCTTAGGGATCAGAGTGAAGGTAAAATAAGGCAAATGTGTTAAGCATTATATTGCCAGGTTTAACTTAGTCTTCCAGAATATCTTAAAGCAAACAATCTAAATAGACTTTAGATCAAGTGCTTTCTTTTTCAGTAAAGAAAAGAGAGGGAATGAAGTAGTTAAAGAATAGTATATGTGTTAGATTACTTTTTTCCTACTAGAATTAACATCTGTTTTGTTTTTAAAGTCAAAATTCTACATGCCAAGATTCCAACCTTATTCTAACAATACAAGGAGATAATAAATAGTTAAAGTAATTCTTAACATAAATCTAATAGATTTAGCAGCTGAGATTTGATTCAAAGTTTTAGAATAACCTTTCTTACAGTAAGGATTTTTCTTCTGATTTTATATGCAATGAACAACACAGTTGGTGAAATAACAGGATGCAGTTTCTGTCACGTTCCTATCCTGCTTTGATGACACAAGCTTTGTCAGACTGGATTGGACCTGTGGTTCATCTGTCCAAGTATCCAGTCTCTGACAGCAACTCGTTGCAGCTGCGTTAAAACGGTGGAGCAGTGCTGTAGGCCAGGTGTCTGGTGACCTGCTGCTCTCTCGGAACACACATGGACCACACACGTGCTAATACATGTGTGCACCACATTTTCGTACTGATGTTCTCTGATTAGATAGGCATGAGAACATCTAGTGTGATTTCCAAAACCTGAACATCTGTTAATTAGGATCATTTGGATGCTGTCTATCCATATGTATTTGTAGTTGCCAAAGCTTAATTTTTGTTTGATTGGAATCTGGCTTTGGGATTTTGTATTTGAATCCAAACTTTACCCATTTTTTTCTTGCCATAATGTTTTACTGTTCTTCTAGCACTTGGTTAATGTGACGTATGTTTAGACTCTGTCTGTGGTTTGGACAGGAGAGACTATTAAAAAGTTTAGATACTCTTTGTTTAAGAGAAAAGAGGTAATTTGAATTCTTAACCTCCACTTAAACTATCACAGTCTAGGTATCTATTTAAATGCAGTTCTTTGCATAATGAAAAAAAAAACATTTAAAAGCTGCCACTTATTATTGCAATAGCTAGCCTAATATTCTAGAGTTATAGTTTATATAGAATCAGGAGAAGTCTTTCAGAGGAATCAGGGCTGTAGTATTAATTATAAAGCACACAAAGTAGGAACACTATTAAGTGAAAAATCACTCAAATTAGTGGTAAATAACTACTGTTTATGTATTATAAACTACTGTTTATATATCATGAAAGGTTATTTCACATAATAGAAGTATTGTAATATTAAACTATTGCCACAAAAATAGCTGACTTTTTCCTTCTAAAATGCATTTTTCTTATTCTAAAATAGTGTGACTGCAAGTAGTTAAAATATTGGCTGAATTACATTGTCTAAGGATCTATTGATGTGCTTAATCCTCTTAAAAGAATTGGTTTTTTACTAGGCACGAGGGAAAAAACGACAGATAGGATGGTTCCCTGCTAATTACGTAAAACTTCTGAGCCCTGGTACCAGTAAAACTACACCAACTGAGCTACCTAAATCAACAGCATTACCTTCAGGTAAGCAATGCGGTTACATTAACAAAGTTTCTTTTGTGATGTGTGTCATTTACAATAGGACTTCTAAAAATAATTATGGATATTTGGTAGGATATTTAGTATCTGTTATACTAGTCACTTTGGTTAAACTAATTTTAGTTTTTTTTTTTCCTTTTAAATGAGGAAAAGATACAATTGCTCTGTATATTTATGGTGGTGGTCCCTCAGGTATGAACTATTGAGTGCTAAAAGCCATCTGTGACATTACATCTTACAGTAAAGCAATCAAATGATCAGTCCTATTTCTTTGCACTAATTGTAGTAAAGGAGTTTTCAGAGGTTCGGGATGATCCATGGGCTTAGCAGTTGAGGCACGTCTCATTCAGAACCTTTTCTTTTTCCAAAGGTTAAGTGTCAAAAAACCACTCAAATGAAGATGCAGCTTTTTGTCCTGTATAGCTGCTTACTTTAAGGTCTATGAAAGGACACAAAAGCAGTAGACCATTATATTTTTTAAGCTATTTGTTACAGCTCCACAGGCAATGTCAAACAGTCCTGTCAGTCTACTGCAAGGTATAAAGGCAGGCAGAAGATGTGAGAACAGAAAGTTCATTCCTTGTGACTGTTGCAGTCTTGAACCATTTTGGGCTTGTGAGTTGGTGTAGTACTAAGAGGATTCTTGTCAATCAAAAACATTTAGAATGGGTGTATTTTCTCTGTAAGTCAACTCAAAGACTTGAGGTTGGACAGACTTGGTTGTCTGTCATCTGTTTGGATTTAGTCAGGGGGCAAAAGCTTGCTGCTTCCCCAGGCCAATTTTTGACTGTCTATCATTAAAATTAAATAAATGTTTCTAAATGAAAAATGGTAGTGAGCATAATTTTCTCCTTTAAATATGTATGAAGGATTACAATGCGGTTTATGGAACTAGAATAAAATACTGAGGTATTAGTTTCATGTGTCATTGGTATAAAAAAAAGTACCATATCAGAGAAGGCAAATGATGCTAATTGACTCCTTTGGTAGTCATAAAGATGCAGAAAATCAGAGTTCTGTAAAGACTCATGAGTTTGGGTCCTGCAGTTAAAATAGTAACTCAGCATTGACACACATGCTTTTACAAGGCAATATGATGGGATTTTTTTTTTAATTATTTTTTTAATTATTCTGCGTTTGACAGTCTGGGACTTTTCACTCATGCTAATAAAACTTTTACAGAATAAACTTTTTAGCACTTTTGCTATTGCCTACAGAACACTAGAATCTTAATGCCATTCATTTTTATCAAATTCAGCTTTGTTATAGACTTTTCGTTTTGGAGGATGAGAAGAAGAATCTTGTCTTTCCGTTATGATAGATGGCCTCGCTACTTGTGTGGTTAGTTTAAGAGGTTAATGGTTGAGAAGCATCTTCATAGCAGAAGTATGTTAGCGGGGAGGCTTACTATAGCAAAAGACACAGAAAGCCTGAAGAAAACCACCTACAAGGGTTGAGTAATGGCCAAGGTGGTGCATTATGAAGGGTCTGAAAGTGTGCCATTACTGTCTGGGTTTTGAAGGTAGGGGATCCATCAGAAACAAGTAGCATCAAAAACTGTTTCTTCTGTCATTTTGTTCTGATGTATATACTCTCCATCTGCCATACTGTAATGCAAACTGCATGACTTTAACAACATTTTTTTGAAAAAAAATTCTGTTGCATGGACACTTTTGCTTTATACTTTAAGGTTTTCTTAATTTTTGACTGCTTTGTCTGTGTTCCCTTCTAAACTTGTGTCATGAACATGTCCTTCCTGGTGCTGAGAAATGGAAAGAACTGTTCCTGCTACTTCAGGCTAGTCAGGCGTAAGGAAGTTCACAATATAGGAATAGTGGAAAAAGTGTTTCAACCATTCTGCTGCTTTAAAGAAAGACAACATTATAGATTGTACTGATTGTGAGTGTTGTTCGAGAACCTGGTTTCCCTCTGTTGTTGCAGTAGGACTAGTATGGATCAATAGAGAATCTTTTAAAAAGGAAACAAATGGCTGAAAAGCACTGGAGCTCTGAGGAGGTAGGCTATAACTTGCTTCTGGAGTTAGCAGTGGCTTTTAGAGTTTAAAATAAGTGAAAAACTTTCTTGCTGGGACTACTATAAGAGCTTCCTATATAGGACTAAGGTGTATTCTAAGCTTTGTGACCAAGTGTAAATAAGACCAAGATGATGTCACTGCTTCAGGTTCAATTGAGGAGTCCTATCTCTTTAAAAATTATCTTAAATTACCTCCCCAAGTTTAAGGTAATTCTTGGGATCCCATTGAGCTATTTAGATATTCTGGTGATGCTACTGGACAGCACCAAATTTCATAAAATTCTTTGAAGTAGAAACGAACGATCTGAATGAAAAATTCTTGAAAGAAATTAAAATGGGTTACAAATCTGTTAATGTACGTGTTGTATTCAGGTATGGTCTAGCTTAACTTTTTTATCGTTCTTAATAAGAACCTGTAAACCCGTAACAAGAATGCCGTAAAACAGATTCACAGGTCTTTAAAGTGAAATGTGAGCATCATTGGTGTTCACACATTTGAACTTGTTAGCACAAAACTATTTAAAACAGGAGTTACACCATAATATACATTCCTTTAGAAATGCTGATTTATCTCCAGTATGCCAGGGAAATGTACACTTTGATTAGTAGATGTGCTCGATGTTACAAATGACAGTGAGTGCCCCTTTTAAAAATTTTTTTTCGTCTCCCCCCTTTGCAAGTAACAAAGCTAAATATTGAGAAATGTGCAGGGTCCTGTTAAATGTGGAGTTTATTTGATTATGATCTTTGTGAAAGGCACAAAGTCTTAACTAAAAGGAGTTGAATAATTGCTGAAATATAAATTAAAAAAAAAGAGGAGCTCTTTGACAAATTTAAGTAAGTTGATCGCTGAGTACAAGAATGAAAATAAAAGAAAATTTTAGGATGAACATAATGGAGAACACCTGACAGCAAGGCTAATTATATAGGAGTCTTGTGTCTCAAGGCAAAATGGCAGAAACCCTGTGACTTGGCATAGAGAAAACATCAGAGAAATAGAGGAAATTATATATTTAAATAAACAGTCCTGCTCCTTTCGAGAATTAAAACAACTGCTCAATTATAATTGATCAGAAATGGCTATATGCTAAGTACTGGTCAGATTTAATGAGTTTCATAGTAAGGAAATAGAAAATAGGCTGCTGGAAGCAGTCCGGTGGTACCAGAAGGGCAGCCTAAATGGCCTAGGATGCTTTTTATTTTTCTCATCCTTTCCAAGGTCATTGTGTTCCTAACACCTCAGTGGTACTATAAGGATATCACCGTTGGCTTTCTCTGGAATTATAGAGCTGTGTTGAGCATGTCTGGTGCTAAATTTGAAAAGACTGCTTTTTTCAGGCTTTGGGTAGTGGAACTTCAAATGTTTCCCAGACTTTTCTGTCCATTGACCAGTTCTGGTGGAAAGGATACTTTTCAGAACAGGTTGGTGAGGATGCAAAATGCCATTTTTATAAATATCCAACAAATTTGGTGCTTTTGTGGGCAAAATATATATAGGTAAAGCAAAAGAGAAGTGTCAGTAGAAAACTAACATCCTTGAAGTGACTTTTTAGTAAGATTTTAAATTTTTCCAGTCGTCTTTTGCTGAAACGTGACCAGTGCGATAGACCTCTTCCTTTATCTTACAGTGTGCCAAGTAATTGGCATGTATGACTACACTGCACAGAATGATGATGAGCTAGCGTTCAATAAAGGCCAGATTATAAACGTCCTTAACAAGGAAGACCCAGACTGGTGGAAAGGGGAGGTGAATGGACAAGTGGGTCTCTTTCCATCCAACTACGTGAAGCTGACAACAGACATGGACCCAAGCCAGCAATGTAAGTGACCCTCTCTGCTGCTGTGCTGTGATTATTTGCGTAGTACTTTAAGATGAAACATACAGCATTGCTGTGATTCTGCTGTGGTTTGCAGAACTCAAAGCTTCACCACTGCTGCACTTGTCAAAGTCTCTTTGAAGACCTTCTGTAATGCAAACCTTATTTTTATGTTTGTTTTATTTTTTAGTTCCCATCCCTTTTGTAGCATGTTACCCTTTATCATTTTTGCACCATGCTGTTGACATGCCTGACTCATTTTCCTAGCTTGAATTTGCTCATTGTTTTGTTTTGCTTATGTGTTGTTTTCCTCCTTTTTCTAGGAATCATATGTTGTCCATCCCCCACTCAGGCTTGAAAGTCCTCAAAGAGACCCACTATCCCATAGCACTGCCCAGAGGGATGATGGGAGATGCAGCCTTGATCATGTCGCTTCCAGCATGATCATCTACTGCCTTCTGAGTAGAAGAACACACTGCAGAGCAGTTTACCTCATTTTACATTAGTTGCATGTAATCGCAATGGTTTGAGTTAATTACTGACAGATACAGACACAAAATTAAAATGAAACAAACAAACAAACAAAAAAACACAGAAAAAAACAGAGGATAGTGGGTCCTTTTGTGGCTTTCAGAGTTACCAAACTAATTTTTCCACCTTTGCACAGGTGCTTTCAGTAGTTTTAAAATTATTTTTAAATATATATTTTAGCCTTTTAAAGGAAAAGCATAAATTAAATTTCTTCATTGCAATTTTGTTTGTGCAAAAAGACCCACTATCAAGGAATGCTGCATGTGCTATTGAAATTGTTCCAAATGTCCATAAATTTGAGACTTTATGTATCTTTCTTTTTTATTGTTCACTTGTCCAGTGTTGTCAATATGTCGTCTTTTTTTTTTTAATTTTTTTTTTAATTACAAAAGAACAGAAGGAGTTAAATCAGTTTAAGGAACTTTAAATGTGCCCAATTACAGATAAGGTATTTTGTTGTAGTTATTGTACTGTATGTATCAGGTGTTCCTTGTTGAGTGTGTAATACATTGTGGAGAGAAGAAATTACCTTCCTTCCAATGCAAGAGATATTAGCCTTGCATAATGTTGTTATCCAGTTATGTTAATTTTATTTTGCACATTACTTGTAGCTGCGTAGTTAGAAAACGCCCTGGTTTGTGTTTGTCTCGGATGTTTCAGTTTTTGCATTTTCCTATCAGAAATCAATAGAACGCTACATTCGTGTGGGATTTGAGAATTAACTTCTTTATTTTCATCTTGGTTACATGAAGTTTGATTTCTCATTTTTACTTTCTTATGACTATGACGGTTTGAACAAGTAATTTTCCTGACAAGAAAGAATGTATAGAAATATCTCCCTGCAATTAATTTCCAATGTTTACATTTTTTTAAACTAGACTGTGGAATTTATACAGATTAATATTAAATGGAGCTTACAGTCAAGTTTATGTAGTAGATGTGCTGTAGCTAAGCCATGTTTGTCTTTCCAGTGTTAGTTACAAGCTCTTGATGAAATGCCTGGTGCTGTCAGTGCAGAAGCTCTCTCTTTCCAATGCCTCAAGCACAATATAGCCGCTCTACTAATTACTTTACCATTTAGTTATGTTCTAGTTTATGTATTTCATTTATTTCTAAATTTCAGGCTGGCAGCGTTGTAGCATTTCTAATCCTACCCCTTCTCCCTCCTTCTGACCCGTCATACGGTGCAAAGAACAAGTGAAGCTCCTTATTCAATTGCACTTCAGTATTTCATCAATATGAATGTAAATTATATAAATATATAAAAATCTGCAGCTTTAACAACTGTAATACAGCCTTTAGAATTAGTTACATGTATAGATAATTAAATTCTTCATATAAAAGATAGACTAAAATGCGTTTGTTGTCTTGTTGCTGTGTATATGTAAAATTCACCAAGTGGCATTAGTGCATGTGATGAATTTGCCACCGGAATAGCCTGAAGCCCACCCATTTAATTTCAGAATGACACTTGTCTTGTTTCTTTGAATATTATTTCAATATAATTACTCAGATTGATCACGATTATCTGCAAACTTTTGCACCTTTCTTTCTCTATTCAATGGTTTCTACACATTACAAGTCAGCTGATATTTTTTGACACTATACTGGTAGATGAATTAAGTATTCTTTGTTGTTTTACCATGGATTTACGTCAACTTAGCTCTGTGTTTTATGCCAGAAGCTCCAGTCTTAAAATATGCACAATTGCACAGATTTTCTTTCTTTTTAGGATAGGGTTGAACACGCACAAATTTCTCCTTTACCGCTCTGCCATAAAAAAAATAATATTTTTTTTTTCTACTGCCTCATAGGCACTTGCTGACAAATTCACTGCCTGGTATGAGAGGAATTGAACAGAATGTAATACTTGTAATTTTCAGTGCCTGTTGTTTTCCTTACTGAGGATGATGTAGCCAGATTTTACTCCACTATTTCAATATTTTGTGCATTAAAATGTTATTTTAATGAAAGGATATTTCTGTTTTCCCGTAATGAGCTGTTGTGTTGAAAGATTTATAACTTGACTAAAAGCGTTTGTCCTAAGGGACATTTTGTGTTTTATGACTTTGGGCCAGAAACATACTTTCTCTCTATATTGAAATATTGGCAATACTTTGGATATAGTGGATTCAGGTGCTGCTTTTTTTTCCCCCGCCCATTACTTCAAGGGAGAAGAAAAATAAAGCTATTATGATCGTCTGCAGGCTACATGTTTTCTAAAATGCTTCTTAAAAATGCCAAGAGTGATGTCTCATAAAAGAATTTCAAAAGCACAGTGTGCTATAAGTTCCTGGGGTCAGTTTTCCACGGAAGTGGAAAGAACATCCCGATGCTGTCCCTCTGTAGCTGCACACACACTGGTGTACGTTGTGCCAGGGCTCCTCAGACAGAAGAGTACACAGTACCACAGAGTACCAGCTTCACCTGTCAGTCTGTTGTTGAGAATAGTTAACTCACAAAAACTTCAAAACCACATGTAAAATGTCCTAGGCAAAGATATTCAAACCGTTGTGGCTTATGTAGACATACATTGTTGAAATACCTATAATGTTTTACTCAATTATTAAAGTTCTTAAGTGTACCACTATAGCTTGGCATGGTAGTGGTTAATCTTCCTCATAATCAGTGATTTTCCTTGAGTAGCAGGGAACAAGATACTGCACTTACTCTTTCTTACCTATCTGGATTTTTGTTTATATATATATACATATTTATGAGAAAGAGAGTATGAGAGCAATTCTTTAATAAAGAAATGGATTATTTCCATCAAAAAGAATAGTTTTCCAGGGTTGTGTCTCAGTCCAGTTTTGACCCTCTCCCTTCCTGCTTCATCTAAAAAGATCCTTAACCTCCTAAGGCACGCGGTCCCCTCCCAAAGCCGTATGCCTGGCCTGCAGCAAGCAAACCTATTTCTAAAAGAACGCTTGCCTCCTGTGATGGAAATGTGCCCACGCTTGTTTCTTCGGTCCTTGAATTTGTGGCTGCAAAGCCAAGACTAATCCCAGTGGAGGCTGAAACAAGACTTACATATCGGCAAAAATAAGGAACCATTCAGATGATTTTCAATTTTTTTGGTATTTTTAAGTTAAGAAAAAGAGCAGTCTTGCTGCTGCCTAGTCCATTGGATGCCTTCCTTATATTAACTGTCATGTGCCAAGTGCCTTCTCCCTTTGCACAGGAGCTGTCACTTGAGGGATGTAGAGGAGACTGGATTTAGAGACCACTCCAAGTGGTGGTGGTTTTTTTTTGTTCGCAGTTTTTCTGTTTACCTTGAGAAGAATTTCCTCTGTATTCAGCTGCTGAGGAAGAATTCTCATGAATGTTTGTTCAGGGAATTTCTTAATATCAATTCCAATACTTTAAATCTGTCCAAGACAACTCAGAGTCTGAAATGCAGGTTTATCAAGAACAGTTTGCTTTATATTCAGAATCAGTTTTATTTAAATCTCAGTTCTTTTGGAGCTTCAGTGGTGTCTCTCTCAGTCCCCCATAGCTCACCGAACACGTTTTAAAATGACCTCTTACCGTAACCTTCCCGCAGGGCAGCAAAATAACTGCATGTTCTGGTTTTGTTCTCTGGTTTTCATGGAATCGTAGAATGGTTTGGGCTGGAAGGGACCTTAAAGATCTTCTAGTTCCAACCCCCCTGCCACGGGCAGGGACACCTTCCACTAGACCAGGTTGCTCAAGTTCTTCGCGATTATTGACTCCGGCTATTTAACTTCTTGTTAAATAGCGCCTTATATGCAGTCCTCTTCTTATTAAAATAAATGGCTTATTTTTAACTTTTTTTTTTAGACAACTTCAGTAAATCCAGGGACAACGTATCTCAAATATTACTGAATCAGTTGACTTGCAAGCTAAGTGCCTGCATGCAGGCAGCTGGATAACAAGCTGCTACTTAGCTGAATAGAGATTGCTAAGGTGACCTTTTGGTTCCAAACCCTGAAAGAATGTTTTCAGAAGGTTGTCCTGGATGCAGTTAAAAACATAAATTATTTTCACAAAGACTTCATTTCCCGCATGTAGACTTCATGGGCTTTTGTACTTGTTTGATAGTGTGCAAAGGAGTACTTTACTGTGAATAAGGATTCATTTTGAGTTATTGTCCATATGAGGAGAAATCGTGAGAGTTACCTTAACTATCTCGTGTAACCTAGTAACATTAATAGTATGTGTAAACATAATTCTGATATACACAACAAATTTCTGTAGCTTGTTACAGCAAGTTTCATAGCTGTTTCATTCCCTTCCCCTTTCCATACATCTTCATTTGGAAACTTCTTTAAAAACCTAAGAAGTAGCCCTGTAGTGCTCCTCCTCAGCACCAAAACTCAAATTACAATGTCTGTGTACACCTGGGAACTAATTTGAATCAAACCTGTAACTCTTCTTCTGTAACTTTTATTAATCCTGTGGAGCAACACAGAATAAGAAGTCAGATTTTAGAACAAGTTTAGTCTTGTGGA